TTGATCTTCGATGTGGACATTTGATTTTGGTAAACTTGCTGCGTCACAGTTTTCATTTCGGTTATTCTTGGATTTTTTGCAGGACATTCCCGTGGCAGATTGACCAAAGTATTGTAAACATATTCTCACCCAGCTTCATCACACGGTAAGCGATTTTTGATATAGAAGATCTCTTGGTGTTTTACTTTGTTTATACTCAAATTTTGTTTCGCGTTTCTTTATATAAATACGTTGAATGAATTCTTAACGAAAAGCCAAGTGTTTATTTAGAAAAATTAGAATTAAATTTCAATGCAGTTTTTTGTCTGTTGCGAATGCCGGTGAAATTACGCCTCCTCCTAACCCTCGCGATTGATTGATTGCTTTCGCGATATTTTCTAAGAATTTTTGCTGCCCCTTTTTGTTTAAATATTCATGCTACACCCTTAGTGACAAGATTTAGTAGAGTTTTTGTAAACTTCATGTTGCCCTCATCGTGGTATAGAAATTTAATAACTTTTTCAATACATTTTTCCATCTATTGCAAATGCCGGTGAAGTTACGCCTCCCCTAACCCCTCACAGTTGATTGATTGCTTTTGCGATATTTTCATGGATTGGAAGCTGCCCCTTTTTGTCAAAATAATCATTCTGCTCCTTTTTTGTACGTGTTTTTCTACCGCTTTTAGACCAATTTTATTTTACAACTGCTAAGCAATTTTTCCAGCCATTTCCATTTCAACATGGAAACATGCTTTAATGAATTGTTTCTACGCGTACACTAGCGCTGAAATTTAATAACCATTATTCCTCTTTTTTTCAGGGCATTTGCGAGACGTTTTGACACCACGATTTGAATGAAAGACATTTCTTCTTTGGCCTTTGTTTCGTTATAATTTGATTGATTTAGAGGATCTTTGTATGTTTATTGTAAAGTTGAAGGATAATTCAAGATTTTGCATCCTGCTCTCAAATAGTTTCAGCGATTGATAGGACCCCTATTTCATAGATTTTCATACCCTACTTCCAATTGGATTTTTACGAGGATGTTTATGAAACACACGGTTCCCTCATTGTACTTTTACAGAGTTTGCCCCCTATGCGTTATAAACATCTATTAGATTTTGCTTTAAATGTGCTATTTAACTTTGGAGGATCCTCAACTCTAGCCATTTATTGTTACCAATCTTGCAATTGGTTTTTTACGAGGATGTTGGTGAAATACACGCCTCCCTCATTGTGATATATTTGAGGGTTTGCCTCATATATTTTGAAAACATCAGATTTTAGATTTTGCTTTAGTTATGGATTTTGTTTTGAGGATTCTCCACTCTAGGGTTGGCACACCAATAGTAACTATTAATTGTTGTTGTTTTCAAAATTAGCAAACATTTTGATAATTATTATGATGATGAAGTAGATATTTGTTTTTCTGCTAGAAATCTGCCATTGAACACAAGTTAGGATAGTTGATAATCAGTCAAGTTTTATAGCATGATAAAAAGTCCTCAAAAATGAAACATTAGTGGAAGTGCTCAAAAATGAAACATTAGTGGAACTATATATATTCTCTTTCGGCAATATTTTAGACACAGGTATTAAGTAAAATTCATATAAAGATTAATTTATTTTCAAATTTGGTCGGGGTGAAGAGGAAATAGATAAATGACTTTGCTGGATGCCTCTTCGTGAAAATATCGAAATTTGAGCTTCTCCATATAAAATGGAGGTCCGGGGCAACCAAAAAACAAGTCTATTGCTTTCCAAATTTGAACGCCTCATGCATTGGTATTAAAATGTCAAAATGAGGCGGAAACGCCCGAGCTGATATTAACACACCACCTAGCAACAATGAAATCACGTGATTTGAATCAGAAAGGAAGATTCTGTTAAAAGTAGCTAGATATATGTGAACTGTACCAAAAATAGCGTTATCATGATTATAAAAATCTCGAAAAATCATCTGACCTATAGACAATTAATTGACAAGGTCATAGTAGTACATTTAAAACGAACACCAACCTCTCCAACAGTTGAATGGTTACCAAATTGCTTTTATTTGGCAAATAAATTAATTAATTGAGTCCTGGATGATAGACCTACTTATAATACGTACAGTAACAAGGTTCCCACATTAAACGCAATAATTAGGCTAGGCTAACCAGGCTCGCAATTTAAGATGCCTGGGTATTGTCAGAAATTGTAATATGAAAGAACCATTTCCACAACATCAAACCTACTGTGCACGTGAAGAACGTTGAAGCTACCAATAAATATCGTTTAATTGCCTAAAAATAAACTACAGAATGTTTGAAGCACACGGAAACAGCAAAATCACACCTTTGATAATCTACTGAGTTATTGATTTAAACTTTAACTGCTCTCTCACGCTTTTCCTTCACCAATTTAGCAACCACCTTCACTCTAATAACAAATTATGTAAAAAATCCTTCCCTAATACTGCAATTTTTCAATAATGTCCTTTCGCCTCACAAAACATATATTCTCCTGTCTTCTGAGACTCATTTCAAGTTTCTCTCAAAATGGCAAACGAGCAGGCCCCAATGGTGACTGCTCAATACTCATTCGATTTAGTCCATGTTCCATAAAAAATATGTCATAAGTTCCCACACTTTATCTAAATAGACTACAATCCACTGAAAAGTTTCTACTGAATGTTATTGTAAATAGACTACAATCCTCCATAAAGTGTTTACTTAATGCTATTGATATTTATTATTATGAAATGGAAGTAAACTAGCCTTTCTTGGCGACCCCGCCAAAGCGGGGTCTTGCAAGGCCCACCTGGCCTGAGTTTCCATTCTTGACGACCCCGCCAAAGCGGGGTCTGGGTGGCCCGCCGGCCCGCGACAGCCCGAGCCAGTGGACCGCCGGCCCGCGGCACGCCCAGCCAGTGGACCGCCGGCCCACGGCACGCCCAGCCAGTGGACCGCCGACCCGCGACACGCCCAGCCAGTGGACCGCCAGCCCCCGACATGCATAGCCAGTGGACCGCCGGCCCGCGACACACCGAGCAAGTGACCCGCAAGCCCACGCCCAACCCTAGGAGCAAATTAGCAAAGAACGAACTAACGCCATCCCCAACACACAAAACCCCCTCACACAAAACACCAACACACACGACCCCAACACACACGACCCCAACACACACGACGTGCCCCCCGCAGAGGCGTGGCTCCCGCACAAAAGAGGCTCACGCCAAAAAGAGGCTGTGCCTGCTCCCCCGCAGAGGCTGCAAGAACCACGCCCTCTCCCATCACAAAATTCTTCCTCAAAAATAAGTGCAAAAAACACTCGCACTCCTGCAGAATTCAGCGAAAAAATCACTCGCGCTCCTACGCGATTTTTACTCGCACGACTGTCACAGGCGCTAGAGGGCGGGGACCTTTTTTTTCCCCTCTCCTCCCCGCCCTCTAGCGCCTGTGACAGGAGTGCGAGTAAAAATCGCGTAGGAGCGCGAGTGATTTTTTCGCTGAATTCTGCAGGAGTGCGAGTGTTTTTTGCACTTATTTTTGAGGAAGAATTTTGTGATGGGAGAGGGCGTGGTTCTTGCAGCCTCTGCGGGGGAGCAGGCACAGCCTCTTTTTGGCGTGAGCCTCTTTTGTGCGGGAGCCACGCCTCTGCGGGGGGCACGTCGTGTGTGTTGGGGTCGTGTGTGTTGGGGTCGTGTGTGTTGGTGTTTTGTGTGAGGGGGTTTTGTGTGTTGGGCATGGCGTTAGTTCGTTCTTTGCTAATTTGCTCCTAGGGTTGGGCGTGGGCTTGCGGGTCACTTGCTCGGTGTGTCGCGGGCCGGCGGTCCACTGGCTATGCATGTCGGGGGCTGGCGGTCCACTGGCTGGGCGTGTCGCGGGTCGGCGGTCCACTGGCTGGGCGTGCCGTGGGCCGGCGGTCCACTGGCTGGGCGTGCCGCGGGCCGGCGGTCCACTGGCTCGGGCTGTCGCGGGCCGGCGGGCCACCCATCTTAGATACTAAGATGCCACTATGCAAATAAGGGGCAAGGTAGGTTGACCACGGTCGGAGGTACACAACGCGCGATGTAACGGGGAGCCGTAGAATCCCCGGCCCCGCCGTTGCGCCTTCTCCCTGCGGGGACCCGGACTGGCCCGAGGAGTAGTAAGCGAGCTTTTCTTTTGCGATCTGCCTCGGTTTTCCTGGTCGAAAATCCTTGAAATAAACTTTTTTTCGGCGGAAGTTGCCTTGCTTGCGTACCTAATTGCTTCTCCGGAGAAAAGGTTACATCGGGTCGTTAAGCGTGTTAGGCTTTGTCAGCGAGGTCGTTAACCGCCACCTCTTTGTGCCGAGGGCAATTATCTCCGCAGAGTTGCTCTGCCAAGGCTCTGCTAATCACCATCGATTTTTTTGGCACGAAAACGGTGTTGCGTCACAGCTCGCTTCTCCCTTCTGGATGGAAGTTTCGATTCGAAATTTTGGGAATCAAAACCGGTCGAATGCGACACCTTTCTCCCAAAAACTCAGCATCGTACGAGCAAAAGTTATGATTGTCATGATCATCGCCTGTACATCGCTGTACAGTACATCACTGTACGAATCCTTTGTGTTCGAGCTCTGGCTCGACCGTGATTGGTCGAAATTTGATCGTTATCAGTGCTAAGAATGCGATCTCATTGTCTAAACTAAGCGCTCATGGTTATCATGCTCAAAGTGAGCTGTACTTTTTCATCACGTGTCCGTTTTTGCAAAGCTAACCAAATCCTGTCCGAGCCGAGTACGGGGTCGCGGGGGTACGGGCCCCGCGACCCTGGAATAGACTGCAAACAATTGGCCGCTCCGCCCACAAAAATCAACAAGAATTCCCTATTCACATGCACTAAGCACATATAGAACAGCCAATAGATAACGTTTCACGAAATCAAAAAATAAATGTCAACCCCTTGAAAAACTCCGTGATTTAAATGAAAAGCAAATTAAACACCAAAAATCCTAGCTAAAAGGGACAGTTTATCATCGACTAGAGCAGCGTAAACGACAAACTTAGCAAAAATCCTGTCCGTGTGGCGGTACCAGCCCCCCGACCTCTTCATAGACAACAAAGCACTGCCCGGTCGCAAAAAGTTACAAGAATGTCCTATTCGCATGGACTCACCACAAAAAGAACAGCCATGTGATTAACCTTTAGATTGTGAAGGGGTCCCTAGACGAAAATGAACACCATCGGTCAAGAAAGCGAATTTCCAACTGAGGTCGCCATGAAAGACGCCATTTTCAATATGGCGTCATCAAAGCATTACCACAACAAGCAAAGCATCGAAATTTTTTCAAAGGAACAAAATACATTGATTGACCAAAGACAGACGAAATACGATTAGGAATTATGAGGTGGGACACTGAGCATTCCAAAACATACGTTTGAAGTTAACACGGGCGTAAAAATGCCGAATTTTTCGAAAATCAAAGTTTACAAAAAAGTTTGTTTTGGTTGCGGACGATTCAGGATGTTTCCCTTTATAATAAAACTATAGCATCGACGCGAGATCATTAAGCGCCAACTTGATTGTCAGTGCGGGTCGTTAGCGGTACTTAGGTACTCATTGACCTTTCCTTCTGCAAAGGTCCAAGGTGGAAAGCCAACTTTTTTGATTCGCTAAACTTCCTGCGTCATAGCTTTCCCCGCCGTTGTTTTACGCATTATAAATCTGTTGACAACATTTTTATGTTCGAAAAAACATTCTTATTCGTTTCAAAAACAAATTGGAAGCCTATCTTTTCAATTTCGTTTTGTTTGATTCCAAAGCATGAAGGATGTTTCCCTTCGTTATCAAACTATAGAATTGAGGCGAGAACATTAAGCGTCAACTTGATTGTCAGTGCGGGTCGTTAGCGATAGTTAGGTACGCATTAATCATTCCTTCTGCAAAGCTCCACCGTGGAAAGAGAACCTTTTCGATTTTCTAAACTTGCTGCGTCATAGCT